CAATTAGTTAATCGCAGAATATAGAGACGAGGACTCCCACGATACATCCAAGACCGAATTTGTGACAGATGAGCTTCAAATATCCACACCAGGGTTGTACAAGGAAGTCAAAACTAAAGTTGTTGCGTGTGATTGGGTATGGTCCGTTCTCAGCATTTGTAGAGGTCTGGGAGATGGAGGGCGGACAACCAGCTCTGAGGAGGTCACAAATTGTGGGATTTGCACTGATCTAATGAACAGAATATAGAGCTAATCACCTTTTTAGGTTATTTTTCACAGTTCGCGAAATTCCATGAAACCTGGTACCCAGTAGAACGACGAGACTGTGACATCTTCTACCACAGGAGTTCGATAGCATTATTCTGATATACTGTGAAACTGTTCATGACATCTTGTGGAACAAAATATACTACTTCACCTGCACAGTTATACCTACTCCTTGCATGGATAATCCAGGTTTTCTTCCTATACACTGGCTTGCGTTATTAGATGCCGTTGAGCTACCGCATGCTATATTCGACCCCTCCACATATGATACTTCGCAGGATTTCGAGGCATCAACACGACCATTGCGGCAAAACAGAAGCACTAGAAAGTAATATGTGCACTCTTTACGACGTCCAATTTATTGTCCTGCTAACTGCATTTCTATGAGAAGATGTCTCAGAGTACTCTACCCAAGATGAATGCTCGTTCTTTGTGTTGCTATAATCCCGCTTGATTTTGTTTCCTATTAGACAAGGGCCAATACAGCATTTGCCCGACAAATCCGATCTCATATCAACTCTATGGAATCATGAATCTTCAGAGACAATTCCAGTAACCCCGAATCATTTGACTATTTATATCATATCTGGTTGCTGCTCTACACAACAGCTCACCGACTACCGATTCGATGCGTGCCTAAAATTTAGCTACTGGTCACCTGTTCTTCTGTCAAGCTCAGATGCCCTCGTTTCCAACTCTAATAGCACAGTGACGATGGAAATCCTCGAAATCTCTCCACTAAACATGATGGCTCAACGCAGTGCGACAAGATGATCTCTGTCCAAATAGGCACTAATCTCTATGTTGCATAATATGACGAGCCCGTCCAGCTGGACCTTGGAAATGGCACACTTGGCTTGCTTCCTTTACTGCGTTAAGCAAGATAACCTACTGACGAACGAAGGTGTTTTCTATGGGAGAAACATCAGTGAGCAGGACAAGAACAGCTGTATGGGCGTTGAAAGGAGTACTAGTGGAGCTGCGCTCTCCTAGTCAAATCAACAAACGCATGAGAGTAAGTTGGTAGTTGTCTCAAAATGCTAGATTTAGCTGATGGTGCAGCCCATGGTCAGATGTCGCCGATGGAATTAGGTAACGCACTCGTATTGCAATTCGCTGTTGCGCTTGTTGCCCAAGGATAATGGCTCGTGTGCAGTATCTGGATTTAGAGGAGGTCGCGTCGGATAGCGAGAGTGACTTTGACGGATACGTGACGTCTCCTGAGGTTGCCAATCTCGTTTCCGCGTTCCCCGTCTTCGTGCCCATCCTTTGAGGGGTTCCTGGGTTGAGATGTGGTTTGGTTGGCGAATTTGGGACGGAATGAGCTGGGTACGTTTGCGCATCGCCTACTACCAAAGAAGGGCAGTGTCGTTGCAGGAACTTTACTGCAATACCGGCAATAAACCTTCACTCTTATTAGCGACCCTCATTTAACGCCCCTTGGCGTTTTCCCTTCCTTATAATCGAAGCAAAGTCTACCGCAACTGGAGGAAACCTATACCAAGCACAAAATCAAGTTGCAGTCAGCGGTTCGGCAGCACTTAAGATATTTGAAGCCCTTTCTTATCTACAAGACCTGCAAGAAGAATATAAGAAATTCACTGAAAATACTACTGGGCTAGTCCAAGAGTCTGGATATATTCCCTGCTTTGTGCTCCAGCACTCTGGATAAAGCACCTGATAGTACCATCTGGTTTATAAATACAACTCGGACAATATGTAGCTGTACACAATCAGAACCTACCCAGCCCCCCTGGCTGTTATCCCCTCGAAGTCACTTCTATTACTCACTGGGCTCTACAGCAGGGCCGTACATATTTCAGAACTCTGAACAATCAAGATCAAAGAAAGGGGTTTCGCGATTGGATCACGCGTGATAGGCCGCCAATCGCATGCGAAGCGGAAGCATGAGTGGACCAGAATCCTCAAAAACCTACCGAGACTTTACAGCAATTAGCATTCTGTTCTTTACGGATCCGGAGTGGTGATGACATTCCCCCCTCCCAGCACCGCATGGTCTTTGTTGAGTATTCTGCTATTGAAAGGCGCCAGTACACACGCTGGTGGAAACAGCTTCGGTCGAGATTATGGATGCCCAACAAGGATGGACAGATGATTGTCAACCAGCGTAGCTGGAGAGAATTGAGCCTGGTTACAAGTTGGCTGTGGTTCCGATATACACACAATCCTAACTTTCCTGACTATATGAGTGGTTGCTTTGAACTGGCGGTTTGTGATGAGGCACATTATCTGCAGGACAGAACCTCTGGGACTTCACTATCAGTATAGTGGTTGTAGGTCTTCTTTAATCTGCTTATGGCAGCAACACCTTCTTTCATTACTCGGAAAATATATTCTAATGGATATCTTGACTACTGCTCTATGATACCTTGGACGCTTCCCACCTGAGTTCCGATTAGCTGGCGTCTCACAGAAATCACCTGGTGTCAATCAATTTCTTTCACCAAAGCACATTCTTTCTCGGTTGATATATGACACGATCAATGCTACCCAAATAAAATCACGGCTCAAGGAACTGACGGTACAGCACAGCATGGCTTCGACTATTTTGACCGAAGCAGAGCCTCTCGAGAGTATTTGAAGGCACTGCTTTCACACGCGCATATCTTCCCACAGAAACCGCAGTATTAGAATCTACCGGAGTAGCTGGTCTTGATTAAAATGGAACATCCATTGTCGGTGTGTTGTATCGTTGATCACAGCTTCGTTCAATGTCAAGCAGGACTAAAATTAATCTAGTCTTTGCGGACGCTACTGGTATCGGGACGGTAAGCTAGGGTTTTAGGAGAGGGCATCATTATGCTTTGACATGGTCATGAGGAGCAATCTCATTTAACGCATGGAAAACCTTCTTCTCTATGTACAGCCTAAGGAACAGATCTCCGTATCTATACCCATACTATAGTGCTAGCATACACCACCACATCCATAGACCAATGAACAAGACAATAGGGATATCTATTAACCAAGAAAAGGAAACCTAGACTACATAAACGAAAATAGTAGTAGATCAGAAAATCTTCCCCAACACCCTCTTCGTATCATTTCCCAACTTCCCCGGATCCTCCACACTCTTATCCCTCCCCAACTTAACCTCGTTCTGCTTAAACACCATCCTAACATCCCTCGCACTATCCTTCTTCTTCTTCCCCTTCTCCTCATTCTTCTTCTGAATCCCCTCAATAACCTTGCCCTTCTCATACCCCTCCAAGAACACCTTATCCTCCTTCCTAGCCCTCGAATCCTCCACCCTCTTCCTCGCCTCCCTCTCCGACCTCTCCCTCTGCACCTGCTCCATCAGATCCGCCCACCGGAACCCCTTCAAATACTTCATATTCCACACATCATCATGATACCACCCGCCCTTCTTACCCCCGATAATCGTCGCATTCAACGTCTCCGCACAAATCTTCGCCGTCTTCTTCGACGCAAACTCAACCCATCCATCCGAGTACGTCTTCCGCTTATTAGATCTCCGACGAGGCGCACTAGCAGGGCGGACTTCAGGCGACAAGAACACCCTCGTAATCGGCCCGAACGACCGCGTCTCGAGAAGGTTCTTGAGCGCAAACGGTTTCAGGTACGGAGGCAGGGAGGAGAAGTAAATCACGCCCGTTTTGTTCTTCTTAGGCGCCTTCTTGGCTTTGTCGAGCGGTTTCTTGCTTGTTGATTTCTTGGAGGAGGATTCTTCTGTGGTTTCCGTTCTGGCGTCCAGGTAGTGGTCTTCGTCGTTATCACTCATTTTGTCCTCCTCATCTTCATCCTCATCCTCCGATCCAGCAGCAGCAGCCTGTTTCTTGCTCTTCTTGCTCCTCCCCTTCATAACCACTCTCTCATCCTCACTATCTCCCAACCCAACCCCGTTATCAGAATCCTCATCCTCCGAACCATCGTTCAAGCCGTGTAGATCGCTCGTCGACTGCACTGGTTGCGTGCGCCGGCGCTTCACGGCCCGGCCTTTGCTCTTTTCTTGCTCCGCTGCTTCGGAGTCGTAGCCGCGGTCGTCGTTGCCGGATTCGGCGTCGCTTTCGACGATGTCGAGGAAGTCGTTGCGCTTGCGGGTGGTCATTATGCTAGATGTATTCGTATCTTGTATCTTGTGTATGTGAGGGGAGAAATGAGAAAAACAGAAGTATTGGATTTGGAGATGATTGCAGAGAAGTTCATCGAACGGGAACTTTTTTTGGGTGGTCTGTGCGCCGCCGTGGGTGGCCAATCGGAGGGGTGGATTTTCGGACTTCCTTCACCTCCTCCAGGATCTAGATACTTCGATGTACCACTCCCCTCTACAGGTTGTAGATTGACGATTCATAATCTGTGATGTACGAGGATGATACTAGGTACAGAAGAAGTGATGATGGACTTAATAAGGAGTAACACTTGGCTGGATGATATAACGGTTCTCTTTGTATGATTGCATATGATCGCGATAAGATGTAGATCGCTCCAACTATCAACCGATCGCAGCTATCAGCTCTCACTGAGATAGTGCGCAGCGCTAGCCATTCTAAAATGTATATGTATATACAATATTCCGTCATCCGTTCCCATGGAAGCCGAGCCCAGACCAGGCTCTCGTACATGCGATAATTTGGGTATGAACAAATGCAGGTGCAGGTATCGAATCCAACGACGCCAACTCGGTATATATCTAGACAATGAAAAAAAGATGAAAACAAGTTCTGCAGATCCACAGTGGTTTAGTTTGGTTCTTAAATGCCAAGTCTTCCCTTCAACCGGTCATAAACGAAGAATCCGGTGGCCGTCATCGGAATCACCTTGAGGTATCCGATCGTCAGCCCAACCCAGAAGCCACGGAAGCCCCGTTCAAGGAATATCGTGCGGGCGGTCTCGACAATGCCGAGTCGGTGGCCATCGCCGACGACGCCGCCGACTTGCATGCGTCGTCGCATCACTTCGAACGGATACGAGGAAGTCTGTGACACAACACCCGCGATCGCTCCGGAGAAAAGCTCCGCAGCGGCGGTTAGTTGCTGCCGATGATGTTTCTTCGGGTGTCCGGTTTCTTCGAATTCAGGTATCGTGGTGTAAGGGGATAGCGTCGGCGATTTCAGCCAATCACCAACGGTGTCATGGGTGAGGAAGGATATTCCGGCGTAGGGAAGCATTCCCATGAGAGTCGGGCCGAATCCGCGGTAAAAGTTGGCCAGCCCAGAACGAGGAACAACTTTGTTCACCGTCGATGAGAGACTCTCTGCAGTGGCGGTCACTGGGGCTTCTTTTACAGATGCCCCCGTCGATGATGGCATAGTGACCCGCTCGTTGTAAATCTGTCGTATGATATCGCGGAACGACGAGCGAGATGTGTGTTTCGTCTCAAATGCTAAGCGTACTCGAATAAGTTCTAACGGATACGTAAAGAAGACAGAAGTCATGCCGGCCATGCTTCCAGAGACGAGTCGGCGCAGCGGTGTTTCCTTGTCGCGCGACGGAATCACCACCGCTCGGATCTGCTCGTAGGCGAGGAACTTGATAGCGGCATAGGGGAAAATGCGGAGTAATGTCGCCGAATGGCCCTTGAAAAGACCTCTGGGGCCCTCATGGCGCCTGATATCGCGAACTGCAGATATTAAGCCAAACCAGCTACCGGAATACTTGGCGAATTGTGGATTGGACGCTTGAAACAGGATCTTGACGCGGTCGAGAGGAGCGACAACAGTTTTGGCCTAGGTGACACAAATTAGTCCATCACGTCCGGTTCGCATTCCGATCCTCTGCGTTCCTGCAGAAGCAAAACTCACCGCACATCCCGCCAAACCCCCCGCCACTCCACTTCGTAATAAGTAGTCCACGCTCCGCTTGTTGACTTCTTGTGTTGCGCCACGGCTCTTTTGCGACGGACGCGGGGTGGAGGCATCGTCGACGGCGGTCGTCTGCGCCGTACCCACGGCTAGGCGATCAGTTGCATCGCCTGGTGTCGAGCCTCGGGCCGGTCTCGACTGTGCGACCTGCTCCATCTGAGGAGAGAACGATTGGGAATTGTTTACGGATGGTGATGTAGGACGAAACTGTGAGGGGTCGGATCCGGTAGTAGAAGAGTCAGGCTGAGCATGGTCCGAAATGACAGCCGACATGAGCACAAGACTGGCACGAGACCCGGTGCTTCTTCGGGGGGTGATCTGAGGAGACTGCAGCAAGGTCTGTCGCGGGCTAGCGGAGGATCGGGGCCATGGAGATAGGATGCCGCGGGGTGAATAGTCAGAAAGATATCTTCTCACGCCGGAGATAAGTTCAACAAGAGGGGAGTCAGATAACAAAAGAAAGGCCTAATAGCGAGCAACGCCCCAGACACCAGGCGTAGGATGATAAAGCATCGTCATGGTGGCACTCCGTCGGGCGGCCTGAAGAGCGGAAACTCAGAATCGCCGGGGATGACGTTACGGGCTGACATGCCGATACCAGCCGCTGCCACTTCCCAGTCAGCTGAATACCGTCACATAACACCTCGGCTTCCGAGTGGCGGGCGGTCGTATTTTTCCGGATTTGGACGGCCAACCGCAGCCGCGGCGTTACTCATCCGGAGATAAAGATAGCTAACTCCACCACTTAATACTTAGATCAACTATACCAGTATCCCCTCTATTCGTCTTCTCGGTAGATAATGTACAATCCCCGCGAGTTAGGGGCAGGCAGTTCTCTTTCCTTTTGAACAGTTATATATATACTTGGCAATGCCTTGTAAATCTCATCCTCCGCAGCCCAGCAACACTCCCCTTTCCCGTCTATCACGAACTCAAGTATAACATAGAATGGAAATATATGCGGGAAATCAAAAGCATCATGGTCGCGTCGCTCATGCAATTCTATCGATATACTAACCTTTTTTGGGTTGCTGACAACTCCAAGTATCCTCAGCAATGCATGCAGTTCAACCCCCAGAAACACCTGTATGTCCAAAAACCAAAATGAAAAAGAAGCCTCGATGGGCTGCTTTAAAAGTTGTATCTGGTGCCCTGTCGTGTAAGCGGTTTGCCTTGACGGTTGGTCGCCTTGATTTCTTTGGGCTCATCCGTCATCCTCTTCGCCCGCTTCGTCGGCCGTGAAGCATCCACATGAAGATGACCATTGTCCGACAATGCCGTGGTATTGCGCCAACGCATGCAGCGATGCTTATTATCATCCACATACGTCTTGTTCCGCGTTATCATGCGCTTGGCCGGGACATCCTCCGACTCCTCGTCGTCGGACGTCGGCTGTAGGTACTCTTTGCGGTGTTTCATGTACTTCACGATATTATCACGCTGCAGCAGCAATTCCTTGCGGAGTTTGGACTCGCGGTGGCCTCGCGAATCAAGCCAGTCGAGAAGTGCGTCGATCGACTCTGGGTCCTCGTAGTAGCCCCATTCGGTGGCATTGGTGAGTCTGGTATGTCCTTCCTCGGTCTTCTTGCGCTCCGCGGGAGTAGTCTGGAAGTCCTTCTGGTATTGTTTCCTCAGATCATCTGAGACGTCGATGAACCCTACACGCTCCATCTCATCGGGTCCTTGAACCCATAGGCGACCGTTGGCGTACTGCGCTTCTGCCGTTGAGCTATTGGGCATCCCACCGTATGGCATGGCGTTGCGCTCGAACCACCAATAGCGGTTGCAAAACCGATCCTTTCCAAGACACCTGGTCCGCGGGCAGTCGGCTTCTCTTAGATCATTATCGACGACATTGATCTTATTTTCAAGCTTCTGGATGTTGGCCTTTTGGTCCTCGATTTTCTTAAGCACTCGTTGGAACTGTTTGGAGCCCTTGGGTTGCTTGGCGAGTTGTTCTTTTCTCTCGCGTTCTTCCTCCTGCTTGCGCTTACGTTCAAGCGCCCGGTCTATGCCTCCACGAAGCGTCCGCTGAGGAACCTCTTCCTCATCCGAATCCACAGCTTCCGAATCGCCATCCACGCCTGTCATTTTGGAATCTTCCAGGGCTTCCAACTCAGGTGCTGGGCTGGGTGACTTTTCCGGTTCGGGCTGCAGAGCTTTGCGCTCCTGATGTAACCGGCGGAGTTCTTCAAGACTGTGATCATAAAAAAGTTAGCCAGTCTATCGCAAAAGCTTTTGTGCAAACGGAATCAGTTCAACAAGATATACATACGCTGCCTTGCGCGCCTTCTGGTACTCGATCTTCTCCTTCCGGAACTCGGTCATCTGGTTACTGCACTCCTCCAGATAGTTGCGGATGGCTTTAGTCTCTAGGCTGAGCATGCAGATGATCTGGAGAGCCTGGACGCGCAGGTTCACATCCAGCGTAGAGTACTGAGCTTGCGCAGTCTCCTGGGTGGGTTCCGCGTCCAATGGAGCTAGGTGCTTCAGTATCTCATTGCACACCTTCTCCATCCGTGGACGGGCGGACAACTGGTGCAGGAGTCCAATCATCACCATTTCCCAACCCCCGTTTCGGAAATCACGCTTCCGCAGGCGATCGATCCAGCCGTACTCCCCAAACATCTCCGCAGCGCGATGAATCTTGACCTCCACGGAGCTCGACCGATCCCGGTCCGCCTGCGCTTTGAGATTCTCTGCTTCAGCCTTCGCCAGGCTACTCCGAGTGGTCATTCTCGTGACCACTGGCTCAGGTTCGGGTGTCGGTTCGTCCTCCTCTTCCTCGTCTTCCTCCTCAGATTCGTCCTCTTCTTCGTCTGGAAGTTCCGGTAGAGATATCTGGACAGCGCCATTGTCATCCTTCTCCGCATTGACCAACTTCTTCAGGACGGCGCAGTGCATCTCCACGAATAGCTCGCAGTCCACGTCCTCAGATGAAAACCGCATAGCCTGGACGAAATCATCGAAAGTGAAAGAATCGAGCTGGAAAACTTCGCAATAGACGTTAAGAGTGTTCCATGTTTCCAGAAGACGCCCGACTGATTCCAAGTCAATATCATCATGCAGGAGATCAGCATCCTCGGGATCATCGGTCTCGTCCACGGTCAAGAACTTCAATTCCGGGCGTTGCTTCTTCTTTTCGCGGTCTGGTGCAATATCGAGATCCTCAATAGGGTACTTGATTGGGGGAGGAGATGGCTCCTTGGGAGGCTCGGCTTTGACGACAACCGCAGGGGCAGGCTGTGGCTTCTTTTCCGTCTCCTGGGTCTTGGTGGATCGGGCTGCTCCGTTTGTGGGCTTATTGGCGACAACAAAAGTCGGGTTGCCGTTGAGCGAGCGTTGGTATTCGAGGAACTGTGCTTCTTTGTTCCGGGCCATATCCTGTTGGGAAGGCTTGCCTTTCTGGCCCTTTACCGCGGGCTTCAACTCGGGTAATTGCTGGGATGCGAAAAAGCCAAAGAAGCCTTCCTGGTCCGCTTTTTTCATCGCCTTCTTCTCTGCAACCTTTGCCCCGTACTGCAGGTGCTTTGGTACTTCAGTCGGAATCCTAAACTCCTCCGCAATAGAAGGTTTCACCAGCCACGGCGCACCATTCCACGATTCTCGAGTTACGTTGTTTTTGATGAACGCACGCAGCATTTGCTTGGTGAATGTCTTCCGGTCGCGAGTGATGTGCTCCTGGTCCAGTAGCGCCTCTTCATTCGGACGATCCGTAACTTTGACGAGATACGTGGAATAGGCTGGCCTTTTAAGTGTTCCATCGGGGTTGAGCTGGTCCGGAAAATTGACTTTGTCTCGGATTGTGCCGTGAAGACGAGTATTATCATCCAGTAAAATCAGGACGGGTTCTCCTGGGTAAAAATCCTGCTTAAACTCCTAATACTAGTTAGCGACATGCAAATCGGCAAATATATTCCAAACCACGTAATTACCTCGTAAACTTCATCCACTAAAATGCGCATGTTAGCTTCCACTTAAGATGTCCATGATATCGACCATCTATGTACATACCAAGGTTATCGACCCGCGATACTGTGGAGAACTGAAGTCGGCGCAGAATGGGTTCTTTGAGGGCATCGGGGAATGCGCTGTTAACTTCGCGCGATTCCTCCATCTAACAGGACGTTAGCGTCTGGGAACAAGAAAGCGCGAATAAGTCTCTCGCATACTTCGCTTCGAAGAGCCTCGAAAAACGTCAGGCCCGAGTGGCCTGTTATCTCGCAAATGAACCTCCGCTGCTTGTAGAAATCCATTCTTTGCAGATACGGTTCATAGTTGACGAAAACTTCGTTGGTCTCCGGGATAACCCAGACCTGCAATCTCATGTCAGCAGGTACGTCGATCGAAAGTTGAGGGGTATGCATGCCTCGGAGCTGTCATCTTCAATGACCGGTCGAGGAAGGTACTGGACCGGTTTCCGCTTGAACAATACCTAAACAGCCAAGTCAGTCTCGTTGGAATTTTCTTCCTGCCATCCATTCCGTTTCATAGCCAGCGCATTGTGGAATATTTCGCGACATACCATGGTCCTTCAAGGAATATTAGTTATAATACGATCGATCATAGACTGCTCGGGGTGGTGGAAAGCATGGATGTGACTAGAAAGCGCAAACAATAGTTAGTTATACGTATGACAGAGACAAAGGACAAAGAATCCAGAAGATAAAGAGCAATGCGCGGTGCAAAAAGAACCCAAAGCACGTAAAAGACTCATTGTGCTTTAAGACGTGGGTTCGATGCGAAATGCCTGCGCGCGGAGAGATCCTTGGGATCCATAAAAGGCGACCCGATGGCGCATCTGCAAGCCTGGGCAGTCGCCAACGAACATTCGAGGTCTGCATGGGAGTGTAGATCGCGGATTTACTCACACGACGCGTGTTCAATCGCGCTTCACACCAGTTTCGCGGACCCGGGGCGACCAAGACACGAGACGAGGGAAGCGTGGAGCCGCAAGCTCAGTCGAAAGTGGAGTCGAGATCTAGATGCGGGTATAATATCTCAGGGAGACGGGGCTGCGTGCGGGGAAGATGCGCGAGGCGTGAGGGATAGCAGCAGTGAAGAAGAGGCACTGAGAGAGAAGGCGAAGAGAAGAAAGAGAAGAGGAGGAGAAGGCAGAAAGGAGAGAAGCGGTCGCCGCAAAAGAGCGACGGCAGAACCGGGCCCCATGAGGATCATTGCGGCAAGTGGTGGGAGGGCCGCCGAGGCACCGGGCACGGTGATTGGCCGAGAGGAGGAGAACAGAACGGACAAGACGTCGGGCGGACGCTCGGTAGGGATTCGCTGCCGCTATACCGCTTCGGGCTGCTTCTCCTTCCCTTAACCCTCTCCCACTCCCCGTCTTTGCCCCCCAGTGCCCTTTTCCTGTCTGCTCGTCCCTCTCTTCCCCCCATTACCCCCATGTTTTTGCACTCATTCGACTCGTCATTTCCCGGAGATTATTCTGAGATAAATTTGGTCTTGCCTGTACCGATTCTGTTCCCTTTACCTGGCTCTATCTGATCACGGCCTAACCCGTCTGCGGGGACGATCTCACTGGCCTTGCGACTCGAGGTCAACAAGCTTGTAGATTTGCGGCCACATCCAGATTTACATACCGTTCTGACTTGCTACAATCATATACTTTGAGTTTCTGGTAATTTAGTGCTACTACTATTGTCGTAGCAAGCTGTTCGTTCTGTTTGTGTCATGGTTCGACTTGACAGTTCTCGTGTAGTTTCACCCGGGTACTTGACCTGGTATCCATTCAATGCTCGGAGCTTGCCCATTCTCGCACCCACCTCGTTCTGACTCACTAGAAGCAGGTATGCGTATTATATCCCCTTTATCTGCATCCCCCGAACTAGCTTGGCTGAGATATTTGCTGCTACCGGATTATAGTCGGCTATAGTATCACTTTGCATGCTTGATCAGCTTATCATGTGTGCATGGTACCAGCTTGCCAGCTGATAATCAATATCTATTAAAGAGTATAGCCTGCTCTTTATGTATCTGGTACAGACAATCGGCGAAACTCGGTAGCAATCAACTTACACAGACTTGCACTCCATAGTGAGCAAGAGTAGCCCGGGCTTCTTAGCAGTATACCTAACGATTAGCAGAAGCTCCACTGATCTGATACTTTTGCATACAGCAAATACTAAAAAATAGCCAGTTATAGAGCAGGCGAGCTTTAGTCTCCGTCGCGTAAAATTCTTGCTCTCCGCTAGGTCATACATTGAAAGACTACCCTCAAACTATAGTCATCACGGCTACAGACCAGCTACAGACCACCATCATTTCTACAAACTAAATAATTCTCTTTCTATAGTCCCTGCTCTTATCCTCGCTTCATAGACAAAAAAGAGACTGATCTTCCAAGTTTTCAAACACTATTATCGCGATCAGGGTACAGTGTTGGCTAACTATAGGGTACATCAGCACCACCCACCGTATTCAACAATCCACAACAACAAAAACGGTACTTTCCTTTATCACTTGCATGAAGCTTGTTTACTGTCATAAACTACTCTAAATATATCACTACTCTCTTCTATGGTATTCGGAAACTGTCGTACAGACAAAGCCTTTCATGCAAGAACCCGAAAATAGAGGTTATGCAATCTCTGCCCCGTCGAGAAGAACAACATCAATTAAACGCCCACCATGTTACATTCTAGAAACACAGTCTACATGTAAGACATAAACCTAAAGCCACCTAAACAAACCCATAGTAAGTGAAACATCTCCCCGAACTCTTTCCTATCTGTCGTGTTCATTCTACTCACCCCCATAGTAACCCCAATCTGACCTATCACCCACCTAGATATATACTAGTAAGTACTTACCCAAAACAAACCACATTCCCCACAACAACGCAAGGCATATCCAACCGCTCCACCCATGAAAGGAATCCATTAGCTGATTATATCCCCAAATAGCACCCAATACTTGACTCACTCACATTGTGCATGAAACAAAGCATGAAGTGATAAAAGAAGAAGAAAGCAACGGAAGTCTCATCTGCAGTGTGACAATCCATGGGAACGATCCCGATGCGCGCTAAACTACATTGGGACTGATGGCTGATGATAAACTTTGCAAAACTGGCTGATCAAGTGGGTCCGAGTTCGGGCGATGGGTTGCACGTGGATGAGCCAAACTGAGCAAACTGGCGCGCACCGCGTCTGATGATTTAGGGCGGTGTGTACGTGTGTTGTGTGGTGCGGCTGGTTGTGGCGCGGGCGGTGGATTACATCATGATTCTTTATCCAACTTTTGTGTGAATATTATTTATTATGGTATTGAATTTTCAGCACTTTTTGGTATCTATATTTATACAGTTTGCTCTCTATCATGCTGTAAAGTAAACTACCATGAATCCAATCCAGCTACCCATGACTCCAACGGCAGAGTAACTGCTCATGAACATCAGGGGCAGGAATTGCAACCGCTCCAGTCCGAAAATGACCTGGTGCAGGATGGAGCAGTAGATGATCAGTGGGATGGCAATGGTTAGGTACAGCAGGGAGAAGCGATCGGCGACGAAGATCCGGCGTCGCTCGGAGACAGGTGCCACCTGATCAAATACGTAGAGGAACAGCACAAGCCACAGGACCGTGTAGACCGTTTTGATGGGGAATTCGGCGGCCGTAAAGAGTAAGGGGAACAAAGAAACGTGTCCGGCGACAGCCAGGGGGCGGAACGCGCTAAAGTAGCGCCGGTCTTTGAGCGCGATGAGGCTGAATGGGATGATGATCAGGAGTACCGCTTTCTCATGGACGTGCCAGCCGAACAGGAATGATGCATATCCGCACAGGGTGATGGCACCGACAAAAGTCTCCCATTCAGGGTTGCGCCAGAGCTTGATCAACGGGAGCTAGCGACCGTTAGCGGTGTTGCGCGCAATCAAACCGGATATAAAAACTTACCAACTGGAACAAGAAAGTCAAGATAAACGTGTGCTCCTTGGTGACTTCAGGAAGCACAGCGAAAGACGTGTCTCCGACGAGACCACGGGTGACACTGACCAGAGCGTCCTGATTGACTGGAAGACCCAACCGCGGAGCAACTGCACTAATTAGTTCCTCTGGACGAAAGCATGGGGTTATGATGATTAAACCTACGCTGGATCAAGATGCGATCAGTAAAAGAGTACATCGCCCAAACATTCGGGGCCCAGTACGCATGGCACAACCCTCTAGAGAAGGGGAAGAGCCTGTCCTTCAATTGAAGCAGTTGACCCCAGGAGGCGAACGGCCCGAAAGCCAAGGCAAACACGCCAACTACGCACACTCCGAGCTTGATGATGTTGAAGAAGCGAGGGCGGAAAATCGACTTCGGGTCCAGACAGTAGACCCTCAGCAAGTAGACGAAGTATGCCAAGGCGAGGTATAGATAGATGTGCTTCAGACATAACAAAACGGCAAAGCTGATCCCACTGTAGAGAAGAGTCGACTGCTTCCGAGCCAAAACGATTGACAAAATCAAGATGCCGTAAAGAAATCCGTTATACTGAAAGTGAATGTGGTCGATGATAAGCAGACCGGGGGACAAGAAGATGGACAGGCTGGCGATGTGCGCAAGATGTTTGTTTTGTTGCGATACCGACTTGACAAATCTGGTTGTTCCTAATCAGCAAGTCGAACGACGCAGAATATATTATGGACGAAATACCTGCTCAAAGCGAAGAGCATAACCAGCTCCGTGACGATAACCGTGGCCCTCTGGAAGTAGATTGTTTGCCATGAATCATGATTGAGGTTATTGACAATCAACATCGCTGGGTCTGCATAACGTGCTGCCTGGGAGAGTACCCATTCGAATGCCGCGAAAAAGGGAGGGTAGTCGAGTGTCCATTCCGACGTTTTCTAATCGTAAATCCGCAATTCAGTATGAATCACCCTTGAAGCGGTATGCGCTGGCGGGTACGTACCTCGTAGTACCATTCCTTGACGGGCAACGAGTGTGTAATCGCAAGCCAGTTTCGATGAACCTCAAAGTCGGTGGATTTGCTGCACGTTCCAGCCACGATTCAGCTGTGAGTTCTGCAACCTCGCGGTGCTGTTCTAGACCATTTGCGGACCAACGTACTATGCGGGGAACAAAAGGATTTTGAAAGCAGTTGCAACAATGGCGCACTGCGCCAAATAAGGGTATAGATCGGTCATTGGTAGATTTGCGCTTGACGCGCCGCCCGGAAAAGGAAAAGGAAAGGAGCGTGGGGCATGGAAAGGCGAGAGGAAGTTGTGCCAGTTCTGGGGAGGGAGAAGGATAGTAATGACAAGAATACTAGGCCCATGGAACCCATCCGGGGCGGGGAACACGTGACCGCGACAGGGGACGGGGAGCAGAAAGGCCAATCTGTCCCCTGCATTTCCCGGCAGATCTTCTGGTTACGATTTGCTGCGGCAATGGACTTGGCTTCGGACGTAGGAGTCCGTCACTCGGTCGTTCTCTCTAGCTTGGAAATTCGTCATCTGGTCGACTTCTCCCCCGCAACTACCTCTATTGCCAGGGAAATCCGTTTCTGCGTGATCGCCATTGTGGTTGGGTGGACCACCTCGCGCGTTGTCTCCGCCTTGTTGAACCGGAGATTGTCGTCGGACCAGTAACAAGATACACCAAGCTTACTCGGAGCTTCACCTTGCTTCTGCTTCTGCTTCTGCTTCTGCTTCTTATCTGGCTCTCCCACTATCAATCCCTCTCTATTTCTTACCCATTGACTGCTTCTGCTGTGCTTTGGATACATACTTAGCCTTTCCCCTCATTGTTGTTTGTTGAAACTTTAGTACCTGCATAACTTGTTTGCGTGACGAGCCTCCGATTGCATAGACATCATGAAGATCCCTGCTTCTCTCCTTTCTTTGGCTGCTGCTGCCGCAGCTCAATCGGTGATTGAAAGTTCCAGCTTTGGTTTCGGCCAGACGTAAGTGTCACTGTTCCAACCGGTCTCACCCGAGTCTATTCCTGATATACTAATGCCTCCCAGGTTATCAACAGATGGCGGTGCCATTTCTGGGTGGCAGACTGGAGGAGAATCGCACAATCCCGACATCGTATGCTGATCACTCCCATCATGAAGCTCGAGGCCATTGTGTACTAACTGCTCCTTAGCTTTCTAACAAGATTATCCTGACACCGCCTTACCCTGGCAACACAAGGGGATTTGCTTGGTCCCAGACTCCGTAAGTCCTGTCAGCGTCTGCTCTTTGTCTATTGAATATTGATCCGTTTCTATAGTGTATCGCAATCGGAATGGACTGCAGAGTTCCAATTCCGAGCGACTGGTCCCGAAAGGGGTGGAGGTAACCTCCAGCTCTGGTATGCCAAGGACGGCAAAGACAGAATTGGCACTTCCAGCATCTATACCGTCAACCAATTCGACGGTTTTGCTCTGGTCATTGACAGCCATGGCGGAAGGGTAAGTCAGAAGCTAGTGTCTGATGGCCAAAGCTAATTATTTGCCAGGGTGGAAGTGTGCGCGGGTTCCTCAACGATGGCACTACAGACTACAAGAGCCACAGAAGCGTTGATAGCTTGGCCTTTGGTCACTGCGACTACCCTTACCGCAACCTTGGACGGCCCTCTACCGTCCGCCTGAAGCACACCAAGTCTGTCTTCGAGGTCACTGTCGACGACAAGCTGTGCTTTTCCACCGACAAGGTGCGTCCATGCAAGTCACATCTCCATTAGCATCAACCTTCTAACCCAAGCAGGTCGCTCTCCCTACCGGCAACGTCTTTGGTCTTACCGCTGCAACCCCCGAGAACCCTGACTCCTTCGAAGTCTTCAAGTTCGTTCTCCAATCCGCCGAGTCTGGAGCAGGCAGCACTGTGCCCGTCCAACAGCAGAACACCAACCAGCAGCCCATTGCCGCTCAGCAACAGGCCGTTCCTCAACAGCAGCAGCAGGCACCCCCTGTCAACACTGGCTTCGAGCAGCAGTTTGCCGACCTGAGCAACCGCGTTCAGGGCGTTAACCAAGCCACCGACAACATCCTTCGTGAACTCGGAAGTCAAGACACCAAGGCCGCCAACCGCCAAGTCGAGCTCCTCCAGAAGCTCGCCAGCAAGGACCAGATCGCCAGCCTCGACGCCAGACTCCAGAAAATGGAACAGATGCTGCAGACCATCCAGCGTGACCTGGAGGGCAAGGACTACCACGGCCGCTTCAACCAGCTTCAGGAGACCTTGCGCTCGTCTCACCTCAGCTTGACCGAGAACCTCTTGGGAGGTAAGCACACCCACTTTCTTTTTTCAAACCATACGAATAGCAACTAACTCGCTCACTTACAGTCATCACATCCTCCGCCCCGCGCATGGGTTTCTTCATCTGCATGATCATCGCCTTCCAGGGTCTTCTTGCCGTGGCTTACATCATCTACAAGCGTCGCCGTGCGAACATGCCCAAGAAGTTCCTCTAAACTTCTCTCATCTCTCTTCCCCCTTGTACCTCTACCAATGACCTGAAATGACCTACCAGTCAGCCAGTCTGCGGTAACGAACGATATCACGAGAAACCCGACAGCGCCGTTGTACGGTGTGAGTGTTCCTTCTCTTCGTTATCTGAATAAACCATCATGTGTAACTATTCTTTTATCTTATACTAGCTAACGTTATATTATGTCGCGTTCCTTAAACTTACCCCCCTGGTCTTCTGTACATGTACATCTACAATTACTCTTGCTTGACTTTGATCTCGTTTACTTTCCTATGCGGTGAAGCGCAATATAGATAGATGGTCTGGTCTGGGGTCGATCAATCATATTCATCAAGCAATTTGTCTACTAGACAGCTTGCGATTCATAAAATTTAATATTAAAACATTAGACAAAATCATCCTATGATATTGATCATCCTTAGCCTACCTCATTCGACTCCAAATCCTCTGATAACATACAGCATACGAATTCTTATACCAACCAGGCCCAACCTAGTACGTAGTATCACTAACCTCCAGGACAAGAGAAGGAAGGAGGAATCGAAGGATCATTCTGCTTTAAGCCGACTTTTCTGCGAGTAAATCCCGTAGTGCGGTAACTTGCCCGGATACTACGGAACCACAAGGGCGAAAGGAGGGAATTAGTACGACTACTATTACTACCACACTTCTAAAGGGGGATATTGAGTGGATGGAACGGCAATAAGTGTAAAATGCATGAAATTTCAGAAATGGATATTTGTGTGTTGGTAGACCGAGACGCACCACTGATCATGAAAATTTAAGGGGTAGGTCCCTTTTGGATCTGGTTGGTGTGGTGCGTCTCGGTCTACCAACGTTGTCTAAAAAAACATGAGAGTAGAAAACAACTTGGCCCATCTCTCTTGGGTAGACCGAGACGCACCACTATTTCTAGGGGTAGGTCCCTTTTGATGTGGTGGATGTGGTGCGTCTCGGTCTACCCAACATTGTCTGAAAAACACACATGAGTGAAAAAAAGATTGGCCCATCTCCCCCGGATGGACCGGTCGGGGGAGATGGGACCGGGCATTGAAAAAGTAAGAAAAAGTAAAAAAAAGAAAACCTTGAAATGGGAAAGGAACATGAAAATGCCTCGCAGCTATTGCTGCGTTTCTTATGCAACATTCAATCAATATGCCCAAGGATGCCATGCTCTGTATGCGCCGAATGTTCAATAAGCCGAAATGGGACCATGGTTTTTTTTTTGCACAGAAAAGAATAAAACCATCTAATATGGAAACTGTAGTAGGACGCCGACGCCTGATTCCCTAATGCCACGGGTGATCCCTGCCAACCACCGCGATGCGCCGCGCCAAACCGAAACATGAACAGCAATACAAATAGTAGTTAACCAAGGTCGTAGCATGGCGTAATAATATAGAAGGTTGAAGAGTTAAAATCTTTGTAAAGCATGCGCCGACTTGGTCTGGCGCAAGTGACACTGACAAGGCGAATCATCGCCAATATGTGACAACCGATAGTGTCTCAGTGCGGAGACACCGGTTGTGTTTTTCATCTATGCACAGAGGATCAGCCTGGTGTTTCTTTTCCTCTCTTTTATTTGTCCTTTTGTTTTGATATGTGTTTTGGAATTTTTTTGTCAAGTTTTTTTGTTTCTTTTTCTTTTCTTTTTTCGGCTTTGCTGTTTGTCTATCGAGAGCGGAATGGCTGTTCCCGACAGAAAGTTGCCGTGACCGGCAACGTAATAGGCTCCGAGTAAATTGATTCGATGATGGGGTTTGACTGTGACGGTATTTGAAGTTATTCCTCTGATGGAACGGCGATGGACTGAGTGCTGGCTGGCTGGGGCGACTCCGACTGCGCATTCAGCACCTGAATGCGTTGTTCAATTAAATTCTGTAGAGCACGAAGAGAGGCGATCTCCGTGTTGGCCGAGGGAAGATCGGGCGGAGCGTTTGCCTTGAGTTGGTCTATAAGCAAACCGATCTTTCCATCTTCAGGCCCTTGCCTAGTAGGTCCGTCGCCCTGTGCGAGTGAGATGAGGTTCGCGGCCGCTTCCCGCTCAGCGATAGTGCGTGAGTTCAAGATCGTAGCCGCTGTGTCCTCTTCCGGAAGAGCAGGCTTCTGGGACGAGTAGAATGCATTGGCCTTGGCCACGAGCTTGTCGAATTCTGAGGTGGCATAGTCCAGATATTTGCCCGCAGCCTCCTTCATCAGCTTGTATTCTTCGTTTTCCCTTCTCCACAAGTCAGACAAGTCAGAGATTTAACCAACAATCACGCTTAGGAGTCTACTCACCTCTTAACTGTTTGGATGAAGTCCATTTTTAGACCGCGCTCTGACACACGGTACATGATACCTTCCTCTTCCTGTTCCTCCATTCTCTCAACCTCTTCCTCATCTGGAAGGACTTCGACGTCGACCATTCGGGGTCGCTTCGGACGACGAATGCGCTTTAGCACATCGTATCCCTCTTCGTCCTTGACCCAGTATTGTAGATCATGCCACACGTGGTTAGGGCACATCCAGCTGTGGTTCCTACGATTACTTCCGCCTTTCTGAATGGGAGGCATGGGCATAGGCGGGTCACAACAATCCATGTGGAAAGCACAAGGACAATAGTCGCACTGGATGATGGGCTGACGGCCGCCACTCGTGCGACCGCAAGCTGCGCAAAGAATCACATTGCCTTTGGCATCCTGTGTTCGTAGCAGATAAGGGTCATCATAACGGCCATGGCGGGCTCCTCGGCGGGGATAGAACTTGGGAAGTGGCACGACCTCATCGTATTTGTTCTCTTCGCCCGTAGCCACACCGGTGAAGTAATCGCGGATGCCAAGGGGTAAGAGGTAGTCTTTCTGTGGAGCGTTGTCCAGGGAACCCAGCAAAGACGTCATAGGCTTTGACAACGAGCATTTCGGGCAAAACCAATCCCCCTCTGGAGGGTTTGCCGGGTCCAATGGCGGGTTAAGACAGGAGAAGTGGAAAGAATTTGGGCAGCCATCGCAACACAACAGCTGGCCGCTTCCGTTACAATTGTGGCAAAAGTCGTTGTTCTCCTGGCGTTCGTTGTCGCTTCTGCCAGCATGTTAGTGTTCAGAGGAACAAGTGGTAAAGAGACAAGGAGAACTTACGTCAGGGTAGGTGTCAGTCGTCGGTTGTCGCCGGCATCACTACTGGCTGGACTCTCAGAGCGCTGTCTGCTACTCACGCCAGCTCCCAGTGATGCTGGTTGAGATCTACTGGCTGCAGTGGGGACAGGAGATGGCACATTAGACTGTTGTGGGTCAGAAGCCAATGAGGAACGCATCTGACTTTCCAAAGCTATAATGGTTGGGAGAGGCTTCTGCAGGCGAGTACGTTTGATTCGTGCCTCTTCCTCGGGGTTCGGCTCGTCTTCAAGCGCATGCTTCTGTGGGGGAGCCGTAGCAGCACTGGGCGGGGCGACTGGCTCCTTCTTCTTAGGTGCACCCCTTTTGGCCTTTCTACCCCTGGCGCGAGCACGGGAAGTTGCCGCTCCAGGAGCCATGCCGGGGGCAAAAGTCTCAGCATCAAGGGATACCGCCGAAGAGAGTGATGAAATGCTGCTGGCCGACCGGGGGCGAGCCAAGACAGGTGCCGTGGCAATGTCTTCGTCGGCTTCCGCCTGGACCTCCTTCCATGCAGCGCGCATAACACTCTGGAAGGCTGAGCGTTCCCGCGGGCCGGGATTTTCCTGGCAGATGCCGTCGAGAATGGAAAGCGCAAAAGGGTCTTTGTTGCATGTCTCCCACAATCTGATGAGACCGCGTGAAACAGGGCGATTGTTGGTCTCTAGCGCCAGTCGGAGGGCTTTTTCGACAGCAACCTTGATCCGATCGACGTCTACATCGGTCGATGTAGGAACAGGCAGAGAAGTAAAAGCAGACATGTCCGGCGAGGCCTTGTTCTTAGTAGACAGAGGTTCGTCCATCGGCTCTTCGGCGGGCGTTAAGGGGGTCTGAGGTTTGGTATCACCTCCCTCGCCGTTCGGTGTGGCCCGTGACTCCTTCTTCGCAGAGATGTTCTGGACACTGGGCTTGATAGGTGCCAGTCCAACCTTGCGCAAGTCGGCAGCCGACGGCATGGTTCCCAGTGGGCGCATACTGGACAGTACGGGGTTCGCGTGATGGGACACATTACACCATGGCGTGTCTGCGAAGCTGGGTTCAGGCTCTCTCAATGGTGGTTCAACCCATCCGGCACTGCTATCAAGAAGATTTGTATCACTCAGAGTGTCTGAAGCCTCATTCTTCGATTGTTCCAAACGCGACTGGGTGCGAGAGGGCGGGTCCTGAGGAGGATCGGTAGCCACGCGGCTGTTCCAGCCAGTGCGGCGCTGCTTGCGAGGCCGTGTAGAATCGGTGAGCGAAGAAGCAGTGCTTGCAGTAGTAGGTGCGCCAAGTGGAGTGGAGGGGCGAGAGTTATTCGACCAGGCGTGGGACGACGAACGGAGATTCGGAGCCATTGTTGTAGACAGGGCTCGCAAGTTGCAACGGCTACAGAGCCAGGGTTAGCCTGCGAAAACAAAAAGTTGCGACAGACGAATTGAAATGGCAATTACTCACTGATTAATAGATTCCAAGCAAACACCGAGCGTGCCCAGCGTGGCTGGTTGGAATCGAGGCCAGCCCGCGCGCTGTCTGCGGGTTGATGGAAGGAAGAAAGGTTGCGGAGTTGGAGTGCCGGAAGTTTTCGAGTCCCAATCAGGCCTCCCTCTAGGGGGTTCGCCGCGGAGCTCTGTCAACCACGAAATTACCAGACACCCTCGATCTGATTTCCATGTACATTAGATTCTTGAAACTGGATTTTGTGTTGTATAGAATAAAAGACTTATTGTCTTCATTTTCTGGAGTGGAGTGCTTACTAGAGTGACCCTATGATACGCGTCAAGGGGCCGTGAGATAGAATCGTAATAAGAGCCAACACAACTCTGTAAATGCTGCCTAAGTGCCTTATATGACACAAGCTGCAATAGGATCGAGGATGTGTAGAAACTAAAATGAAGGCTGAGTTATTTCAGAAAGTTTTCAAGTCCTGTGATTGGGTCAGCCGTTCAACATCCTGAAGCTTTCCAAGTCCAAGTCTGATGCCCAACGCACGCGGACTATATGGAAGCGTCCTGATGATACAACGAGGTCCATCCAGTGCCTTAAGGTACATACAACAGCAGGAGAGGACACAAGAAGACAAAAGCACGAGCACCGACTTGGTCCGTAGGAGTAAGCCAAGCTCTGGGGAAGGAGAACACACGCGCAGAACACAGCTCCAGGACTATAACCAAACCTACCAGGTACGACAAAGTCAATCAGCTATTCTTGGAGCAGTTTCTTCTGCTGTAGCTGATACAAAGATGGCGTATTGGAAGGAAGAAGACACGATGTATGTGCCGATGTAGATGCAAAGAAGGAGATTGCTGGATTCAACGACAAAGAACAAACTGGTGAAGCGTTTGAAACCACAAGCAAAGCGAACCTTCTCTAAAAGGCAGACAAACGAAGAAGATGATGGATAAGCGGAAGAAGATGTAGGTTAGTGCAGAGGAATGGATGAATGGGAAAGTTTGAAGAGAAACAAGGAAGCAGGAGAGCAGCGTCCGGAAACTCAGAAGAAAGGTCAAGTTCGCAAACGAGGATTCTGCAATGTGTTATACACAACGCGTGTGTTTTCTATGCAGAAAGATCGTGGCTGACTTCTCTGGAAAGGTTCCGATATCAGACTGATGAGTAGGAGGGGTTGACGATGCGGAAGAGCAAGGAGATGTGATTCTTGAACGTGTTGTTCAGGTAATAACTTGAGCTACACGTTGTAGAAGAATGATCAAGAATGAGAAGAGAAGAGAAATCGGAAGGGGGAAAGCGAGTAGTTAAGAAAGCTGTTGTGGCTGGGGTTCTTTGGGGAAAGTGAAGCAAGTGAGTGAATGATACTCCGATGTCACTGAGAGCGAGTTTGCAGCCGCGGGAAAAGAAGGGTACGACACTGCTGCAAGTATTCTAGAGAAGTAGACAGCAGATGTTCCTCCTGTATTCAGAATAACAAACCGTCCAGAGATGATGGAAGTCGGCAGGAGAACTTTGGGTAGGAAGTGGAAAGGGGAAAGGCACAGGGAAGGGAGAAGATGGAAGATGGAAGAGGAAGGATTGGGGAGAAGCCAGACGGAGGTCAGTTGGCCCACTCCTTCAACCTCCATGCCCTCTCAACTCCAGACTGCCCAACACACCCTCTAGGAAGCTCTCAGTGAATGAGCTGGGACGGGCTGAATATAGTATGTTCACTCAAATCAACCTTCTTGGAGAGACAGCTGGTCCTCCTTCACTCCGTGCCTCCCGCCCCAAGCCACCAAACTAGCTGGATTCACTGCCGGTATATGGCTATTTGTGCTGAGCCCTACTGTTGAATAGAACGAATAGTCTACTTGGAAGAGAGAGAAACTATCAGATCCAAGCTTAATGATACTGACAAAGAGAACTACTAAATGTTGCCTTTCCTTAAGCCTTTGTCGGGGGTGGCGTGGCGGCAACGGCTGGGCAAGCAACCTGCCTCTCCAATATGACAGTCTCCCGAGATATACCACACCCCCTTAAAGCACCGAAAGAGATGATTTAATGCTTGATTGACCGGAAAGCTCATCGGGGGCGAAATATCCTCTTCTCTGGAGGCCCTGGGGAAGGTGCCGGGTTATGCTGATCTCACCGTTAGATACAACTGAACTCCGAACGGATCATCCTACATAATCCCATTGCCTGCACATAAAAGCGAGTAGAAAGAAATCATTCCGGGAACACCTGCATTCATGTATAAATGCGGCAAAGGTAAAAGCGTGATATGCAACATCGGAGGCAAATTTCAGACCGGTATACATGGGCCGGATAGATCTAGTAATGTTGATGGAAAGCAAGATGTTCTGCCTCATTTTTTTTTGCTTCTTTTTATTCAAGCATTTACATATCGCATCTTCTGAACTTCTGAACTAGTTATGTGACAACAGGTTTTGTAATAGGGTATTATGGAAGACATCAGTCTCCCACATGGCTCATCTTTCGCACGGATTTCCCCCATCCCTCATCATCTGCAGAACTCTCTGGATGCAGCTCCAAAAAGGATCGTTGTAATGGCGCGCATCGCCAATGCTTCGGTATGACGAAGAATGTTTCCTGCAAAGAAATCATAGGCTTTCATTTGAGCCAAACCAACACGCCCACGGACACGGCAGACGTGACGCCCAGGTCAGACGATGATTTACTCGTCAGCCTTCTTGGCGGCGGTCTTCTTCTTGTTGTTCTTGTTCTTCTTGGAGCCGGTGGATCTGGCCAACGGGCGCTCGAGGATCGCAAGGATCTCCTCGTCCTCGATCTTCTTGTCCGTCTGGAACTTGGAAAGATCAGGGGTGGTGGGAGCGGCAAGACGGGTGATGCCGTTCTTGGTAATAGCTAGAGCCTTGTTAGAAGAGATATCTTCTGGGGTAACCGTAGATCAATAGGAATAGGCAAAACATACCAAGAGTGGTCAGGACGCGGGAGACGGGAGCGTTGTCGGCATCACCGGCGGGCTCGTACTGTCTCAGGACACCACCACGGACACACTCGACAACACCAACCTTGGCAGACTTCTCATCATCCAGCTGGCGCAAGCTGAAGGGGAAGGTGCCGAACTTCTTGACGATCTCGGAGAGAGTCTGTCTGGAGCTAGGGCGCTTGAGGCCGTAGGTGGTGGTGGTACGGCGGTGGAGAGTGGCACGGTGAGGGAGGGTCTTGACCTTTCCGGATCCGAGAGACAGACCAAGCTCAACACCCCAGACTTCACCGACCTCGGGGACACCCTCGCCCTTGACACCAGCGCCGGGCGAGAGGATGATCTTCTTCTCGCCTTCAATCTCGTTGCGGTTAAACTGCCAGCTGGTGGTGTTCTCGACAACGTTGCAGTCGTAGGCCTTAGCGACCTTCTCAATCAACTGAGTGATCTGAGCCTGGGTAGGAGCCTTCTGGGCAGCGGCCTTCTGCTTCTCCTCATCAGTTCCGCTGGCGAGCAGGCCAGGGGGAACCATGAGTCTCAGAAGAAGCTCGTTGGCGTAGTGAGTGGCGTGGATAAGGTCAGCCTCGCGGCCGGTCACCACATCGGCGGACGAGTTGCTGTCGGCGACAACGACCATGTCGCAAACGATGGTACCGAAGCCATCGATCTGAGCACCAAGCTGGATCTTGGCGATCTCACCGGCCTTCAAGATGGTCTCGGCCTCCTGAGCGTCGGACACCAGGGGAGTGTAGGGAGTCACATAGGAGCTGGGAGAGACAGTGGTGGGGTGAGCGATACCTTTCCCCGGCGCATCACGTTAACTCGCTGATCTGACACTGATTTCTCCGGACTAACAAAGGGAACATACCCTTCTGGATCTTCTTGCCCTTGTAGACCTTGGCAATCTCCTCCTCGAGAAGCTGGTCACCCTTCTGGCAAAGCTCAACGATCTTGCTGCCCTCAACACACCATCCTAGCATCACGAGATTAGAATTTCGTAGCCCTAAACAAGGCGCAGACGCCCGGGTCGAGTAATCACACACCTGAGACGGCTTCGAGAACCTTCTGGGAGATCTGAGCAGCGGTCTTGTACTTGGTCAAGGTGTCGGGGTTGTTGAGGGTGTAGTCTAGAAATGGACCAAGGCCGGGTTAGTTAGGGTGGAGAGCGAACAGGCATGTTTAAGCCGGAGATTGTAGGGTGATGATAGAAATGAAGATATTTGACAGGCAGTTCAAGACGAGGGCAGGTTGCGATCGTTCCGTAACGCTCGCCCGCTGCTCCAGAGTCGTCGCCAAACCTAAGCCGAACCATGACGACGAAAGCAAGCGGGAGCCCACAAACGCCGGAGCTTTTTTCAAATTGGAGGGACCAAGAGGGGTAGCTGGGATATGGCATGAGCACTTACCAACCTCGGGGGCCTGAGTCTCAGCCATTGTGTATCGATAGGGGGATCCTCGCGCTGCTGCGAGGAAGGATTACAGATGAAGGTATCTGGGGGAGCAGTAGTTCTAGCACAACAGTAAGAGAAAAGAGGAAAATGGACTCTGCTGGAGAGCTGGAGAACCTTACTAGTAGTGAGAATGGAGTCGTGTGCACCGCACCGTATTATTTACCACCAATACACCTGGAGCGGGGGCTTCGGCCTGGTTTTTCGCTGCGTTGGCGGTGGGGTTCTCTTCCCTTTCCGAGTAGGGCTTGGTAATCTGGATGTTTTGCTGTTACCCTCCGCTATTGTGCAGCTGACCGCCTACCATTTCTTTCCATTTAGTAACAAAACCTTAGTAGTTTGTTTCGTTGCCTGCTTGACTGGCTGGCCCTTTGACGCCCAACCCGCTATTCAGCATTCCCCTTCACATTAACTACTCCGGACTCTCCTGTCTTCTGGTAATTGATTGGGTTGGCCAATGCTCTGTCTTGTAGAACCCCTTGAGCTTTTCTTTCGAGCTTCAGACGGTTACCGAGCGAAGTTATCCCGTGACAGGCGTACAACTTCTCTTGATCATTCCCATCCTAATGATTGCCCCATGTCATACCAAGTAAGTGCAAGTTCCAGATTATCCAGTATGACATCACACCCTCAGGTCTCAGTCGCCACAAGTTGTTCTCATCATTACTGCTTGCAAACCGATCGCTTGCGAGATCTTCAACCTAGACTGTACCCCCTCCACTGTAGTTACTGTAGTACACAGTAGGACAAACCTCCTCCTTGGCATTAGTAGATGGCACGAACCGGACTGCGGAGGTTTTGTCGATTGAAGGTTCAGGCCGCTGTCAAACCTGCTACAGCACGTGAGACCTGCAAAGCCAGAATGAAGGTCTCCTGAAAACGACTCCAGGAATAAGTAATGGGATGGTTGAGAGTGCTAAACGATCGCTGTGTGTCAATCCAGCGGAGCCGAGACCACGGCGGAACAGCGCGACTAGAGTCATTGTTTCTTCTTCTGCGTAGTACTTTTTATTTTCAATGATATTTATGCAAGATTTTCCTTCGCTTTCGTTATGGGAAAGGTTGCTGCGTGGCTGACCGTCTATGCTCCACGTAAACCCAGACAGAATCGTTGGCTGGCACATGGCTTGACTGAGCAGAAAGTACGCGGGCCACGGCTCATGCACGCTGGCTAGGATTTAATATCTCTGAGCCAGCAACTAACAGAAACTAGCTTCGACCATTGGTTTGGTTTCGATATTATAAGAAAAAGAAATGGTGCTCAGACCATGGATGTGCTCCAGAACTGCGAAGGAATCTAGTGCTTGCTGAAGGAGAGCCTCGCCATGTGATGATAGTGCTGATCTACTACTTAATTTTCCCATGTTCTTCGGGCTATCCCGCCAAGCCTATCCCACTTGATGACTACTCGTGTGTTCTGCTGAGATGAGACCATGGCAAAATCAATAATAAGCACATATTATAGGATAAGAGAAACCCTGCAAGGCAATGGGCACACCCAGCCATCTGTGCAGCAAAAATAATAAGTAAGAGAAGGGTGGAGTGTTCCAAGTCTGTCACTGCCTCATGGCCCGCTAACGTGCATCCACCATCCACGCTTCATGGCTACTTTTATTGATCAATGGCTTCCTTCCAGCCTACCCGAAGTCTGCAGGATTTGGCCCCCCCGCCCATGTGTGACCACCACATGGATGTCCTGCAGATTTTCGGGGCTTACCTTCTCTCTGACGGGCCCCTTATACCGCCCCAGCGTTGAGTTTGCTTGAAAAGTTTGGGGGCGAAGGCCTAATCAACAATGCGTTCTGACAGGATGCGAAGTTACGGTCTTATATACGCCCCTCTCCTCGTCAGACGAGCGCAATGTCCTTGAGAGGCATCGTTGTATCGGCCTCCCGATGTGTCACCCTTCCCTTTACACGGGTGCGTTTTATCAGTGCCCGCAGCCGGCATCATGGGCTCGATTACAGAGGCAATAGGAAAGCGCACAGCAGAGCTGTCTCATGATGGAAGGGATGTGGCCATCACCTTGGCCGTGTGCCTTTTCCTGGCAACACTCACCACGGGTCTCCGCTTCTGGTTGTCCAGAAGACGAAGGCCGTTATTCTCCATGCCAGAATCCATGACGCTCGCGTCCTTGGTAAGTCTTGTTAACGCATTTCTCGCCGACAATACAAAAGGCCCCTTGTAGGTCCTTCTAGCTCACTATCTGACGGCATTTTTGCAGCTTTTATTCTACTCCTACGCAGTGGCGACCTACTTGAGTATGTTTTCGTTACTACCCTAGAATCGGACTTGTTGGATTCTAACGGATGTCGCATTTGCCTACTAGTTCTGACAATCGGGCACGGTGGCTACCCAACGTCTCAAATACAGAGCTGGCGGCTTACTTTCACACTCAAGGTATGTATGCACCCAATAGGCTGCCAACGCTTCGATACTAATGACTGCATACAGTGTGTCTACTATCTTCGGTTGGCTTACGCCACAGGACTGGGCTTGGTGAAATGCAGTATCTTGATAGCCCTGTTCAGATCCCTCGCTGCTTCGTCCAAGGCCGCTCGACATGCGATCTTGGTCATCATGGCGGTCTGCATTTCCTGGAGCCTTGGGGCTACCCTCATAAGCCTCTTAAACTGTCGCCCATTGAGCTACAACTGGAACCTGCAACATTCGGAAGGCCACTGCATCAATCGAAATGCTGCCTTTATGGCAGTGAGCATCATTGACGTTGTGACAAATGCGGCAATCTTAATTTTGCCGCTGCCTAGAATTATAAGAACAAAGATTACCCGACCGGAGAAACTAGTAATGATCAGTCTTCTGATTTTGGGGTTATTGTAAGTAACTCGACACTGCCTCTTTCAAGCAGGGCGGGCACTAACATGCTTCCAAACAGTGTTGTTGCCATTACTGCGGTCCGCACAGTAACCATCGCCAGAACGGACTTTTCTGCCATTAACGACCATGGCAAGATGATCAGCATTTGGACGACGGTGGAGTGGACGGTGGCGCTTATGATAGCCAATTCTCCTGTGCTGTGGCCTTTGCTCGACTGGCTCGCTCCTTTCCATTCTATGGAGAACGGTCCATATGAACGATCGGCATACAACCCTTCATGTCACTTGCTAAAGCGTCTGCGACCAACGACTTTGCATGAATGCACTCAAACATTAACATCGAAGACGGCGGTCACGGAGACAGGCTCCGTCCACTCATCTCGATCTATCATTCGAGGGTTCGGGGCCAATTGGACAGAGGCAATCGGGCAGGCACAACAGCCAGATCCTTTTCTATCGTTAGAGCCGGGCGCAGTGCGAGTGCAGACTGAATGGTCAGTGGAACGGTCATCAGTGGGGAGACTGGATCGATTAAGGCCGGGCAGAAAATGATAGCGAAAATGACAATAAAAATTGTAGCATCCCCACCCACTTTCAGATAAACTTCCTAGTCGCAACTCCCATACGACATTCTGTATTTCGTTACTGCCAAATGTGTTTCCGCTTGGGCTGAAACAAGAGTGACATTCCTTTCATCACACGCGTTCCGTCCCTCAACCAATCATTCACCAACAGGCTAAAATCTGACTTACATGCAAGTTCCCGTGGTGGGATTGGGGGTCTTTTTTCTTTTTTTCGCAGCCTTGTCATGCACTACCTCGTGTTCTGCCATCCTTCGGCGCATCTTGTACCTACAATGTACAGGGTAAATACGGGCGAAATTTGGCAGGGGTGCGCTCGGGCAGGCTCAACTCTCACCGGTCAGACTATTAAATCGGGTCAAGATGGAGCTGGCGGCCTTAATTGACGTCACCAAATGCCTATGGAGATCCCTAAGGTATATGCTGGATTTAGTTTCCATTCCATCAACACCTATTCTGCTTGGTGCATTTGACAGAAAAGTCTGAGTAGGCTGACGAGCGGGGTTAATGCCCCCTTTGATCCCTGTAGAAGTTCTGTGATCGACTTCTATACTCCTTCCGAACCCCAGGTATAATATCCCTTTTTTATACCCCACCATGCTAACGCCCCCTAATCTAAACCAGCCCCTGTGGATACCAATATGACTACAAGTGAGCAATTTGACTACGTTATTGTCGGTGGTGGTACAGCTGGCTGTGTCCTAGCCTCACGGCTGAAGCAATACAACTCCTCTTTGTCGATCTTGCTTATCGAAGCCGGCCCTGATGCCAGCAACCACCCCCTCGTACCAGACGGAAGTAAAGCCACTCAGTTACTGGGATCAGAGCTTGATTGGACATACGAGACGGTGCCGCAGATACATCTTTCTGATCGTGTACTCTCAAATCACGCGGGGAAGGCTCTGGGTGGTAGTACCACAATCAACAGTGGTGAGCTTTAGCAATCATAGATCGGAATCCTGAACTTTGAGGTGGCGACGGTGGGTTCTTTTTCGTTATACAGTCCAGAGCTGATGAACTTCATGTGGTGCAATTAGGCGGATGGATGCGAGGTGCAAAAGAAGACTATGACCTCTGGGCCAGCTTAGTCGGTGACTCTCGATGGAGCTACCAAGGTCTCCTGCCTTATTTCCGGAAGCTTGAGCATCACTTCGATCCTTCGGCCGACCCCGAAGTTCATGGCTTTGATGGCCCTATCAAAACTGAGTCCGTTTCGTCTACAGGCCGCAGGTACCCTCTTCGTCAACTGGTGCAAGAGGCCTGGAATTCCATTGGTGTAACATATAACCCCGACATCAATTCTGGCAGTCCTTATGGGCTGGCTGAAGTTGTTGAGAATCGCGAGAACGGGATGCGACAAATGTCGAGCTCCGTTTATCTGCTAGATGTGGAGATCATGACTAAAACCCTGGTCAAGCGAGTGCTAGTGGAGGAACGTGGGAGTCAAAAGGTTGCAATAGGTGTAGTATTGGAGGATAAGGACGAAAGCCAGATCATGGCACGTCAAGAGGTTATCATTGCTGCGGGCGCATATCGTACCCCTCAGCTCATGATGCTGTCGGGTATTG